GCTAAGAATGCGACTGTTTATGGTTGAAGTATAGTAACAAGCTTTAGCTAAAAGAGCCATAACACTTTTTTTTTTTTTTTTATCTGCACTCAGTCGTTACCGACTCTGCAGTGACTGCTTTTGGATGAGTCCTTTTGCAGTTTTCAAGGCAAGGTGTTTCGGAAGTGGCTTGCCAGTGCCTCCTTCCTAGAGCAGAGCCCAGCTGGTGAGCGCAGGAGGCGGGGTTTCTGTTGCTTCGCGCCTTTTTCAGGTGAGCACGGCTTCTGCACTACCAGCAACTGCTCCCGACTCCTTTTTGCAAGGCACCGCCAGCATTTTTCCTCCCACCGGAGTGACAATACCCATTTATCTACTCACGTTAGTTTTCAAACTGTTGGGTTGACCGAAACTAGGGGAGGAAGCAGGAGCTCACTCTGCTACGCGAAGGCTTGGCTCGAACCGCTGAAGTGTCAATCATTTCTGGCTGGCAACTTTCAGCGTCATTAAGCCGCTGCGCCACCGCGTCCCATGTGTTGGATTACAACTCCTATAAGCCAGTGTGAAGTCCAACACATCAGGAAGGCTCCAATGTGAAGATGGAGGTTTACAATCTTATGCTCCCTGGGTCTGCACTCTCCAACCCTACAATCAGAGCACCCACAGGGTAGGTTACATGGGAATGGTTAAACAAAAATTAAGATAGTGGATGCAACCCTGCAACCAAAGCCCCATTCCCTTACACGTTGCACATGCATTGCATGTAAAGACGGACAGGGCTTCAATCATACAGTTGCATCCACTATCTTAATTTTTTTGTTACCCCTTATAGCAAAGTCAGGGTTTCCCTTGACTTGGAGTCAATAATAAAACAACTCCCCCACTTTATTCTTCTTTCCCATCTAGCCCTAAGCATTTAATATCTAAGTTTAAACCACGTGTGGAACATTTAAGAACCACATGCAACCCCAACACCCCACTGGGGCCTCCGTATAGAGCTGAAATATTTGGAACCATTTTTTCAGTCAAGGTTGGGGACACTTTAAACTTCATTTTGTCATATAACACCCTCATGCCCCAAGTGAAAATAAACAGGGTAGTATCTTAAGTCTTGCTTTGCTCTTTAACCACCCCCAAATGAAAAAAAAGGAAACATGGTCTGTATAACATGAACCCCATGGCGGAATTTAGGCCCCACTCACTCCAAGGATGCCCCTCTCCAGTCATGTCACTTATGGCTTCCAGACTGGGTAGAAAAAGGAAGCGCCCATTTTAAGCACAATTTCCTCCGTCGTCTTCTTGCAAGAGTTCCCAGTCTCTTTTGCTCTTTTCCTCATTTTTCTGCTTTCCTTCGTACAGGTTCCCTCTTTCTCAATCCGTGATTCATTCTCCATCTTTTCCTAGGTCTCCTTGTTGTCTGCCCTTTAGCTTCCCTGTGTCTTAGGAAATCCTCCAAACCCTGTGCAAGATTTTTGTCCCAACTGCTACCCACCCCTTCCCTCAGCATTTACATTGACGGGGATGCAGAAAATGAGTGCTACAAATAGCATACGCCTGAAGCACCCATTTGAAAATGCTGTGTGGTCAAAAGAAGGGACATACCAGTATGTAAACATTCCATACATATACTCTTGAGGAAACCAGAATTGTTCTTGGCTCCTGCCAACATGGCAAACTCAGGTTGTTATTTGTGGAAAAAAAATGTGACCACGCCAATGCATTCTCCCTAGTCCAGCATTTTGAGTCCTGTGTGCAGCGCTCTTCAAATCTCACATTTCCCAGCTTTAAAAGAGAGTCCGGTTACCTGACCATTTCATATTTATGGATGCAGCTGTGAAACTCCACTTGTATCAAAGAGGAATAACTGGGAGCGTGTAAGAGAGTAAGCCCGAATTTACAAATGAATTTACTACATTTATTGCTTTCAAGAATATGAGTCAAGCATTTCTCTACACTAATACCTGTTTTCACAGAGCCATACAGTCCTGAAATACAAGTGACTGCCTTTGAATTTATTGAGCATATTGCCTGCAAGCCATTATTAATTTCCTGATGCTATCTGGATACTGTTTACAGTTCTGGAATGAGGACATTCTAGACTAGTTTGCCCTAGAATGCAAAACTGGACTTGCTGGGAGCTGAGCCCAACTACAACTTTACTCTCTTCCACTATTTATATACATTTCCACTGGGCTATTACAAAATAACGAATTTCTTACTGTGACCTATAATTTCTTTATACATCAGCAACAGCTAGCAACTTTACATGAGCAACAATCTGATTGCAGCCAGTTACTTGGCCATCATTGTTGGCTTTTTCACCCAATGCGCAGTTACAAGAGTATCTTAGGTATGTTCCAAGGTTCTCTAACTATATGTGCAGGATTATATGAGTATGTATCAGCCTGGTTTTTGTTTTAAAAGTACACTCTGGAAATTTCTCTGCATTTATTTTATTTATTTATTTATCATATTTATATAGCCACCCATCTCATACAAGGTGACTCTAGGCAGCTAATACTTATGGAAATCTTGCTGCTCTGTCACAAAACCTTTGCAGACACGCCACATGATAAAGATTCTCTAACTACAGGAAGTTTAAAAAATACCTGAACTGCATTACATTTCCTTATATCCATCTTATAATGTTAAATAAAAGGACTGTATTGTCAGATATGCTGGTTATATAACACTGGGTTACATTAGTCTTTTTAATAAAATGACATTAAACAATATGAAGCAGCACAATGTCCTACTGAAAGTCTACAGGTTTGATTCCTCATTTCCTTGTAGGTGGTGTTTTGGTACCATGTGCTTCTCACCCATTCTGGTAGAATTAGTATTTTATGCTGACTACATCCTTGAAGAAGCCACCAAAGTAAACATTTCTAAGAGATGGTCAGTAGATGTCATCCATCTGAAGGATAAGGTTCCCCCCCCCAAAAAAAAGCACTGTTGTAGCTATTCTCATGCCAAAAATTAATATGAGAAGAGCACTTTGATACTTCGCTTGTTCAATTCATTTAGCTCCCCAATCACTGCCTCTCAACCTAGCAGGCCAAAAGTTCTGCCTCCACTTACTAATCCAAGTCCCCACCCAAATTCCATCTTCACTCATAATCAATCTTTTGTGCAAGCACTTTGAAAGAGGGGGAAAAAGGCAAAGAATCACTTCAGATTCAGCCTCTTTCCACTGAGATTTTTAGAGAAAAAAATCAGAAAGGCTTTAACGAGACTGTTGCTTGAATTTTTGAGTGTTTTGCATTCAGATAGCAAAGCCAATTAAAGGTCTAGATTTCCTCTGTCCTCTTTGATAAAGAAAGGACACTCTCTCACACAAGCTTCTGTATCAGAAAGTACACCAAGCCTCCAACTCCTGCTGTTGCTGCAACAGCCAATAAGCGCACTATAAGGAAGTCCAAGGAGTCCTCCAAAGCTGCATGCAATTCCAGGACCTGTCTCTTGGTGGCCTCAGCGTCTCCTGAGTTGTCAATGACATGGTCAGCCAGCTTGACCTTCTGAGCAAGGGGCATCTGGGCAGCAATGCGTGCTTCTGCCTCTGTCTGAGTCAGCCCATTCCTGTGCATCAGGCGAGACAGCTGAGCTTGTGGGTCACTGACAGAAGAAAGGAAAAGGAATTCCGTTAAAATCAAACTCTCTTCAAAGTGTATCTATAATAGGCATCCATGACGTAGACCAGGATCACTGGGAGAAGAAAAGATTTCACCTTGTTTCTCTCCCTCCAGTGATTTCACTGCAGGCAAGACAAATGCTTCCTCAATGTTATTAGTGAACAGGAAGCAACAACCCTGATTAGGTTTGTCACTGTCAATGGTAGTAGCAGTGAAAGCTTTAACTATGACTCTCCCCACTTCCCAGCGGTAACAGCTGATCACCAGAAGAAATTAACCATTGTTCCTTGGGCCATTGGACTGCCCACCAGTGATCTAAATAAACAGTTTCCAATATTCTCTATCTTGCCCTCACTTCACTATGACCAAGATTTACATCTCTCCAAGCTATAACGTGATTGGCTTGATTTTGGCTTGGTGTGATGTAACCTACCTACTGTGTTTTGTTAACCATGGTTTATAACTTAGCATGTCACACAAATCCAGTCACACAAGACATGGAAGACAGGTTTCTTTGACAGATGAAAGCTCCTTTGCGAAGGCTCCAGCTGAGTTCTCTGTTATGAAAGAAATTAATGGTGCTCCTTCTCCCACCCTCTTTCCCAAAGAAATCCCCAAACACCATGGTTTATTTTCTCCCATGTAACTGAATGTTTTGCACTAGTGAAAAGTATAAAGTATTGCAATCAGAGGCATAACTGTTATGGGAATAACTTTGGCTTCCATTTACATCTAAGATAAGTTAAGAACTATTTCCAGCAAATGAACTACATATGCTTGCATTTACACACTATATGCAATATTCTTAAGCAATCATTCGGGCGCAGAGAAAGAGAAGGAGCTGATAGTGGAAGGGCAACAATGTGTATGACAAGCATAATAGGAAGAAAGAATTAAGGCGTTACTCCCAACACCCATGAGTCTCAAATGTCTTGGTCCTTGGTCTCATAATGCACATAAAAGCCAGTATATGCAGGTACAAAGGCAGTGACTACTAAGAGAATGTACCACTCAGAAAGTGTGATGCTTCAGTCACCTGGTCCTACTCAGTTTCAATGCACCATTCTCTTGAAGGCTGAACTTTCAGAAAGCTCAGCACATCCACGAGATGCAGGATAGCAGTATGAGACATACTGCCTCTCTCCAAACACAGCTGAAGTAATTTTGTCAATGGGCTTCCCTGTGCTTTGCCTCCTTGGATATCAGGAGGTGGTCTTGCAGAAAGAAGCTGAACTACATTACAGCAGATATGTGCCTTCCCTGAGACTATCTGTAGCGTGATGGGGCTTACCAGAAGGAAGAACATTATACAACTTGTTGACACTGGGATGTAGCAATAATAGTAGTAGCAATACTAATAGCTAGAAGGGGAAGAAGAATACACATTCCTTCCAAACCACCTACAGGAATACACAGAATGATCCAAGTGGCCACTAGAACGTATACATTCATTATGAGTAGCTGCACACACAAAGTAGTAGCTGCAGTATGCATCTAGTATGCTACACTGAAAGACACTGCCTTTGTAAATAGACTGAGATTCTAATGCCAGATCCAAAAGCCTCACAGATAAAGGCTTGTCATTCAGAAAACTACTGAAATGCAGAAAACTGGATGAAGAGAGCTCAAGTCATATGGCTTTATTCTAAAAGTTGCAGTTCTGTGGGAGGGACCCCAAACCACTCCACTCCATTTCAATGGCCCTTCAACTCATAAGGACAATTCCATTACCTTTAGCCTTTTCAGCTCTAACTTGGGTTAAATATTCTTTTAATGGTTACCTGAAAATACCTTTTATTCCTACCTCCATTTGGGGAAAACAATACATTACATAGCCCATTCTCCGTCTTTCATTCCATCTAAATGATCAGCACTAATAGTCTTTAACATTATACAATATTTCACCCAGTACTCTCCTTACCAATACACAACAACTGTGTGCTTCATAAACTTGCTCAGCATTTTGGTTTCGAAGAGGAGAGGGATATCCAGAATCACATATCGGTAGCCTGGAAAAATACAGTGAAAGTTTTACTAGAAACATTTTTTTTCAAATGGCAGTAAACTTTGTATAATGTTGCAAATATGTACAGATAGTCCTCGGGTTATGACCACTTGTTCAAAGTTATGACAGCGTTCAACAAGGGGGACTTACAACCAGTCTGCAAAATTGCGGCTGTTCCAGTATCCCCATGGTCACATGATCACAATTCAGGCACTTGGCAATTGGCTCACGATTATGACAGTTGCAGTGTCCCACGGTCACGTGATTGCCATTTGCGACCTTCCCTGCTGGCTTCCCACAAGCAAAGTCAAAGGGAAAGCTGTCAGGAGGTTGCAAGTCACTCCTGATGTTGCCGCTTTTTCTCACAAGGAGCCCCTAGGCAGCATGGGGATCTCATACTCTGTAGCACTCGACCACCTATACTCCATATCACCCTCCACAGCACCCACCCATCCACCCATAGTCCGTAGTGCCCTCTGGCCTGCTTGCCTGGGACATAGTTTCAGTGCCTCTTCCCATGTCACAGTCACATGAGGTCCTCACTTAACAATCCACACAGTCCTTGCTTAACAACGGCAATGGGGACTGCCTGGTTTGCTGTCACTAAGTGATGTGGTCATGAGATGTTTCACTTTATGAACACATAGCTTAGCAATGGAAATTCCAGTCCCAATTGCCATCGTAATCCGAGGACTACCTGTATTTGGCTACAATGCAATCAGTGACTAAATAATATCAATTAGACTTTGTGGACAACCCTTTAATATGACAATCATTCAAATTTATGCTCCAACCACCAAAGCAGAATAAGAAGAGGTTGATGGGTTTTATGATCAAGTTCAATTTGACATCAACAGAACATGCAAGCAAGATGTGCTGCTTGTGACTGAAGAGTGGAATGCCAAAGCTGGAAACATGAAAGAGGAATATATAGTTGGATTATATGGATTAGGAAACCAAAATGAAGCAGGAAATCGACATACTAATTTCTGCCAGTCCAATGATTTCTTCATAGCTAATACTGCCTTCAAACAACCAAAACACCACTCTACATGGACATCACCAGATGGAGTATATAGAAATCAAATTGATTATATTGCTACTCAAAGGAGGTGGAGGAACTCAATTATAGCATCAAAGACATTGTCAGGTGCTAAATGTGGAAGAGATCACAAACTGTTCATATGCAAGTTCCAAGTTAAGCTAAAGAATATGAATATATACCTACCATTTTCAAAGAGAACATCAGGAATCACTCTTAAGTCCTAAAACTCACTGATAGAGAACCAGAAGAATTATGGAATGAAATTAAAGAAGTTGTTAAGGATGAGTGTGAAAAGAGCCTGTCAGAAATTAAGAAACTAGAGAAAGCAAACTAGATGACAGAACAAACCATGGAAATTGCTGAGAAGAGAAGCCAAAGCCAAGAAAGACAAAAATCTTAGAAAGAAACTTAACAAAGAGTTTCAGAGAGCTGTTAGAATACAAGAAGCAGTATTACAACAACATCTGTAAAGACAATGAAGATGGAAACAGAGATGGAAAAACAAGGAAATCTTTCAAAAGATCTCTGAACTCAGAAGGACGTTCCAACCTACAATTTGTATGCTAAGGATGCCAATGAACAGATAGTAACCGATTCAAAAGAGATCAAAGGAAGATGGAAGGAATATACTGAAATACTATACAGTAGAGATGTCAACATCCAAGATACCCTAGAAGATATTCCCTACTTATAGGAACCTCTAATACAAGATGAACTTAGATCAGCACTCCAATCATTACCACAGAAATATGGCATGCAACAGAAGAAGAATCAGTAAAGGTTCTAACCAAGCTATGACAGCAAATCTGGAGAACGACACAGTGGCCAACAGATTGGAAGAGGTCAGTCTACCTTCCAATGCCAAAAAAAGGAGACTTAACAGAGTGTGCAAACTATTGTACAATACCGTTAATTTCACATATTAGCAAAATAATGCTTAGGATCATCCAACATCCAACATCATCCATTTTCCAAATGGAAAAAGAGATGCCAGATGTTCAAGCTGGTTTTAGAAAAGGCCGAGGAACATGAGACATTATTGCTGATGCATGCTGGATAATCGGGAAAGCCAACAAATACCAAAAAGAAGTCACTATGTGCTTCATTGATTATAGAAAGGCCTTCAGTTGTGTTGATCATGTCAAGCTGTAGAATGTGCTCTGAAAAATGGGAATCCCAGAACACCTCACTGTCCTCATGAGAAATTTATATACAGGTGAGGAAGCCACAGTATGGCGAGAACATGGCAAAACAGACTGGCTCCAGATTGGTTAAGGAGTGTGACAAGGCTATATACTATCCCCTTATTTATTCAGCCTATATGCTGAATGTATATATAGGAAAGCTGGATTGGAAGAAGATGACTATGATTTTAAAACTAGAGGAAGAAACATCAATAACCTGCACTATGCTGATGACACTAATCTGATAGCCGAAAATGCAAAGGATCTGTAAGCTCTAGTAATAAAAGTCAAGGAGCACAGTGAAAAAATGGGACTAAAATTAAATATAAAGACCAAAATAATGACAACAGGTAAAACAACCAGCCTTAGAAATGACAATGAAGATATCAAATTGGTGGATAGCTTCTGCCTTTTAGGTTTAACCATCAACAACGAAGGAACAAGCAGTCAAGAAATATGCTGCAGGCTAGCACTGTGCAGATCAGCCATGAAGGTCTTGGAAAAGATATTCAAATGCTGTGATGTATCTATACCTACAAAGATCAGAATTGTGCAAGCCAAGGTATTTCCTTTGACACTCTATGGAAGCAAAAGTTGAACTTTGAAGAAACATAATAGGAAGAGTATTGATGCTTTTGAATTTTGATGTTGGAGAAGACTCTTGAGAATACCATGGACAGCCAAGAAACCAAACAAATGGATCATCGAACAAATCAACCCAGAGTTCTCACTCAACAAATGACCAGGCTCAAATTATCCTACTTCGGATATATTATGCAGAGACCTAGCTCTCTGAAGAAGTCTCTGATACTGGGAAGGGTGAAAGGAAAGAAAAGAAGAGGACAACCAGCAGCAAAGTGGATTGGCCCAATGGTGATGAGTGCACTGTTGGAAGACCTGAAAGACCAAGTTAGGGACAGATCATCATGGAGAAAATCTATCTATGTGGTCACTAAGAGTCGGCAATGACTTGGTGGCACATAATCAATCAATCAATTCAAGAAGAAAAAATAAAAACTCCTGCAAATAAAATGGGTTTTCAAACTTGGACTGAGTCAGTTTTCCTGAATTCTTAGTACAGAAGATGGCATGCCAGTCTCTGCAAGAAATACCCTTACACATTTCAAAAGTGTAGTTCTGTTTATACAGACTGGTATGAAATACAGTGAAACCTCAAGTTAATGGAACTTAACTTGGGAAGGGATATCTATTAAAGCCAAATGTCAATTTTTCCAAAGATGGAAAAAGAGAAAAATATAAGGGGCAAGGGAGAAAGAGAGAGAGGACCATGATTCTTGAAAGGGGATGGAGGGAAAAGGAGCCCAATAGCATGCACTGGAGAATGCATGGAGAAGGTTTGGCTTTTGGAAAGTTGCAAGGAGATGAAGAGTGTGCACATATCAAGGAGATGCTTGGCTCAGAATGATTTATTTCTCTTCAACAAGGCAGAAGCAGGGCAGGAGGGGACAGGGAGGGCAGTAGGCAAATGAGCAGAAATAGTGCCCAAAGATCCCAATGATGATGGGTGAGGAATGAGAAGCTGCCTTTGGAAATTGGAACAGAAGAGACAGAGGGTGCAAGCATGGTGAGGAGATGTGAAGGGGACACTCAGCTTGGGGTCTCTTCTATGTTCTAGTGGGTGGAAGCAAGGCAGGAGGGAAAGGGAGAGCAACAACAGAGCAGAAACCAGTGTCCAAGGGTCCTGGCGCAACTAATGAGGAACTTTTGGGAAAGTGTCTCAGAAAAGATGGAGAGTTTGCATGTGCTGAGGAGATGTGAAGAACCCTCTTTGCTTGGGATCTCTTTTCTCCCTCCTTATTCAAGAGGAAGAAGGCGGGCAGCAATGCAGAGCTAGACAAAAGAAAGCATGCTCATGCATAGACAGAACTAACAACTGCCCAGACAGACTTTTGAAACAGTGGGCTTGTCTGTTATTTGGGGGGTGAAGTTCACATTCAAATTTGGTCGATTTTTCATTGCATTAGAAACCTGTTAAACAGGGGTTCTACTAAGTCAAGATTTCACTGAACATCCTGCAGCAGCTCCTCCCTCACTCTCCACTTCCCAAAGTTCACCACTATATTTCCCACCTTAATATAGCAGATGTGGTTGGCCTGGATTTAGTCCTGGACTCCTCTTTCCACAGGATGAAAAAATATGATAGCCTATGTAAATATTCTTGTTTTCTCTAGCTACTGAAGCCTCTAATGCATCTAAACATAGCTTCCTCATCTGCTGACACTGCTTTAACTCAGAGTTTTTTTAATATGTTTCACACACACTGTGCCTTTATGTGATATTTCAGATACATAAACAAAACTATTATAGTCTCATGCCAACCTGTTTTGCCCTCTAATAGCTATACAGGCTACACATTTTAACAGAGCCCACTGCTGCCTCTAAAGTCCTTCCCTAACATCCCTTCCCTTACCCTCAAATCTGCATCCCAGAAGGCCTTTGGGTTCATCCTTGTTCCCACTTATAACTATACTTAATACGAGCAACTGTATTTGCTGATGCTTCTGGGTGACCTTTCTGTTTTCTAGTAAGCTTTGTTGACATCTACAGATTTGGGGGGTTAGACCTATCTATTTCTTTCCTTAAGAAATTCTTTATAAAGCACTATAGACTCTGATTACTACTGCTTTGAACAAGGAGGCCTGAATTACTCCAAAGAATTTTCATAAATGAATTTACTCAGTAAAAAAAATTAGGGGTTTTGAAAAATGGAAGTCTGAAGACAGTGAATTTGCTTCCCTTTTCTCACATGCTTCCATTTCATAATTTTATAGGCCTTAGAAACTGTAGGGCACAGGCTCACTATTTCCCCATTTCCCTATCTGCCCTTAATACACTTCAGCTCCTTTTTGTACAGACACCCCCTTTTCTGTCCCAATACCCCAAAGCAGCCAGTGATATTATTGGGTACTGGATCAGACAGGTTTGATGGCTTTATTTTTCACAGTTATCAAAAAGTAAATGGGAAAATATAAAGACATTGCAGAAATCCCAGCAGTCAAGCCATTATTTTATCTTATCAAGTTCAAAGGGTGCTTTTAGAAGAGCACCAGGGAGAACGGGGGTACTGGAGAAATGCCTGAGCATTTCAGGAGCCATGACACTATGCACAATGCTACCCAAAGATTCTTTTGTGTGTGCTCTTTAAAACCACATTAAGGGACTAAAAATGCAAAGGGCAAGTATAAAGAAGAGAGAATTGTCAAGATGTAAGCAGTAAAAGGGTGATTGCAAACAATATGTCACAAAGGGAGCCAGCAAAGGTGCCTTTCCAGCCCTTCCTTCTCTTGCCATATAAAAAGAAAATGAACACATGGCCAACAGAGATGTTATCATTTTTCTCAGCATGATGGATGCCCCAAGGATTCTACAAAGTAAAATCAACCTCTCCAGCAGCTTACCCAACACAAAGTATTTCAAGATCTGTTTTAACATCTCCTTCTGGATCTCAGGATGAGTGATGGAGTTTAGCAGCTTACGTTTTTCTGGCTGGGAAAAAATTATACTTCCTAGAGCTTCACGGTTGATCTCACCATTCTCCAAGAGAATTTCTGGACCAAAGGAATGCACAATACGTTGATATGCCTGGAAGCATGGCTGGACCACTGAGGAAAAGGAAACATTATAGCAAGAAGAGCTATAATTCCAAAAAATTTTCACCAAAAATTCCTTAAAGATTCAGTATTCAGCTGGTTCACATATTTTGCAAAGGCTTTCAGCTGACAAGAAGGGAGGCAAGGAAAAAATATGACTTCATTTATTTATTAAATCAATTTATATGGCCTCTTATCTCATGAATGTGACTTCATGCTTAGAAACAGACAAACCTCTCTCCCAAATGTCACATTAGTCCTCCTGCACCTCCAGCAACAATTCACCGACCAACGTAATTTGCACAAAAAATTGCACAAAAAATGGTCTGATGGGACTGGACAATCATAAATCTAAATTGGCCTTTTTTTCCTTGCAGAAATACTTATCCAAGGCAATATGGCTGTATTCTTCTCATCATCAACCATTTGGAGTTGAGTGGCCAGAGATGCATTTCTTGCTATCAAGGCTACATCTGAAATCTAGCTTTGAAAAGTCTCTAATGCCAACACATATCACAATATCTTGTGGCAATGAATTCTGTAGATTAAGACTCATGGTATGTAGCATTTTTTCTTTTTTATATTAGATTCTCAAACGATTACAAATACTATCATAAATCATACATATAACTGAAGAGCTGTGGGATGGGCAAGTGGAAATAAGAAAATAAACACAGAGGAATAATTTCTGATAGTTTTTTCCTGATGCCTCAACTATGGTCACACAAAATAAGTCCCCCCCATCTTTCCCCAGCCCCCAAAGGACCTTAAAGGATCCTGAAGGCTAAACTTTACCCTAATTAAGGAGTTAAACAAGTGAAATTCCCAGCATGATTTTGTTCTTCAAACAGTGGTATGTCTGGCAGTAGGCATTAACTGAGTAAGGGCCTTGTTAACAGGGAAAGGGTTTTTATAACCCTTAACCTCCACAAGCAATTCTCCATCATTAATTTTCTCCCCTTCCCACAGCAATAAACAGAGAGGGTAATTTTCATACCTATATATTACTTGTCCATGGTTAGCATGTGTTTTGTGTGTGTGTAAATAAATAAAACACATGGTTAGAAAATTTCCAGATGAAATTCAATACAGGGGCAAAAATATACCAACTACCCCCACAGACCTGATGAAAACCAGAGGCTTTTTTAAGAGGAAAATGTAACGTGTACATTAGCTCCAAAGCATGTGAAATGTCATATTTAAAAGCAAGCAACATGAAACCATTCCCAATAATCTCTCCATTTGAGATTCTGTAGGATTGCTAGATAGTGGTTCTCTGGTAAATCACAGTCAATCTGCAAGCAAAAAACTCAGGCTGGTTATAGAAAACTCACCTTGACGAGCTATAACATCAGCATCAATAACAACACAGCCCAATTCCTGCAACAGAGCTGCTACTGTACTTTTCCCTGATGCAATGCCACCTGACAATCCCACCAAAAACATCTTGCCCTGGAAAAGAAAGAGAAAACTAAATCTGAGATAATTTGTAAACTTTTTAAAAACAGAAGAAAAACATGAGTTTAGAGATATATTCATTCTCATTCTTACCTAATTTGACATCTACCCTTCTATCTTACATTCAAATACAAAGCCAGCACAAAAAGCACTTTTAAAGGTCTGAATTCCTATTATTAAAAAAATTACAAACCATTGGCCAAAAAATTGCTTTGAAACTTTTAAATCCATTTGTGAAATATAGTTCCGCTCACTTATCTTCCTTTGGGAGCTTCCTTGGTCCTTAAAATTACTTTGGCATCCAAAGAAATGTCTTGTGATAAACATCTCAGAACTCCTATCTCTCTTCTTTTTTCCTTCTTTGAACTACACAGCCCTCCTGCCTGTAAACTTTATTAAGTTGCATAAGAAAAAGATTTTTCTTTTGCCAAGTTTCACCCACCCACAGAAGCAATGGGATGTCACCCATCCACAGTGAAAGCTGGACCGCACACTTTAGAAATGCTGTTCTATTCCCCAAGCTGTTAACTGCTTTGTAATGGAAATCACAGACATTTTACAGTTCTCCCCATAAAATAGCTGGTGGCTTTTCCCCACCTTTTTTTTTTTCCAGAGAAACAAACTATTTGTTCAGAGCTCCTAAATCAGATCAGAGTACTCAGGTGCAGCAAAAATGTCATTTGTCTTCTTCAATACCATTAAGATAATTGCAAATTAATTTTATTATTCCCAAATCATTACTGCATCTATTAAGCATGGAAAATAAATCTGAAGTCCTTCAAGTTTGGTTGTGAAACAGTTTCTCAACTTGAGTACCACGAAGAGTTTCTGGAAGCACTACTCAAAATATGCTAATAATGTCCCCACCTCAGGGACGTCG